ACTCAAGGCTTGTAGAACACATTGAATGTATGCTGTAGACCGTACAGGCTCTGAATTGAGAAAAGGCTGCAAGAGTGGTCTGGATTTGTTCTTCAGAAAGGAGAAGGCAAGATACAATGGGGACCTGAGTACAAGTCTTATGACTCAGCAACGGAGGGAAAAGAAAGCACTTGCTGTGGTGTGGGGTGATTCAGATGGGTGTGGCCGAGAGGAGGTGATTTGCCTGGAAAGCTCCTTGCTCCCTGGATAGCCAGAGAGGAAGATGAGAGCCATGGTTTCCCAAGTGCAGAGAAAATGCTAACAGAAAACTTTCCTTTCCCCCCCCAGCTCCTCTGCATCTAGATAAGACCTTATGCCCCATGCTTGTCAAAATATTGTGGGGGAAGCTGATGTAGACTGCTTCTAGCCCCGGCTCACCAAAAATAGATCCCACTCAGTTTCCCCTCTAAGGGTAGAGATATCCCCATTTCAATTTCCATCAAAAGAGAATTCCTGAATGTAGAGCCTATGGTGATAACCCAAATGTGAGCACCAAGAAAAAACAGCCAGATAAAAAGGCCTAAGTTCTCCATTCATATCACCAGGCACACCCTTCCTCTGGGTACATGTTGCTACGGTGGGGACGAGGGTGGAGTGAAGAGAATCGTTTGCTCCTATAATCAAGGTCTTGCCTCTTCCATTTTAATATACTACGCCTTCTAGACTAAATAATAGTAATCTTCAAAGGCTTTCTTTTTTGAAAATTGCAATCACTTTTACAGCTATGGTTGAATGTCAAGGCAAAGTCTGAATGGTAGTTTCTCCAGGATGAGTCAGCCTGACTTCTTAAGGCACTTCCCTGAAAAATATGAGAAAAGAAGCCACATAGGCTCTTTAGGCTAATCAGAGGCTAAGGGGAAACCAGTGGAAGACAGAAGTAATGCAGCTTATACCTAGGTTCATAAACCAACCTGTGAATGAGGCTACAAAGGAAAACAAAGGGGCTGACTAGGGTGGTTCTAGGGGGCATGTGTTGAACTTCCTCTTTCTGTCAAGGCCTGTTCCTCCCAAAAGGGACCTTCGTGTGCACTTCTTGCCACTCTGAGGAGAGGAAAGCTAGAGGTGGGATTGAATATCTTCAGTCTCTAGCCTGTCCACCAGCTTTTGCCAAATACAGGATGTTCAAAATGGTTATTCCTTTGATACAGACTAGAGTGCCGTGGGTATAATTAGTATTATTAAGTAATTTCACATGTCGTGAATTGAATGGATGGATTATGTGTCAGTATGGGAGGGAATTCAAACCTGTAGCAAAGCTTGGAGTTAGTGGGAGTTCAAAGGAGACTCAGAGTCTCTGGAGTAGCAGACAGGCTTGAACCTGGGGATGTGCCCCCCGGTTTCTGCTTGCGGGACAATCTTGTCTCTTTAAATGGTTACCAGACTTGAAGTAGTTTAAGAAATAGTATGGCTGCCATTGAGGATTTTCTAGAAATGACTAAGATGGCCTCAACTAAATGTTATTATTAAACTACTAAATAAGATCAAAGGTTAAGAATTTTACCTTGGTTACATGTCATTGCTCATTTGGTAGGTGAGATAGAAAAGAAAGATCGTGAAGGTTTGTCTGTACAATTTCATCTCCTAAAAAGTAGTCTCCTTGCAAATGATGCTGAACCTGGGTCTGTGCCAGGCTGGCTGTGGTCAGGGTGGAAATGAGACTAGAAAGCACAAGTCACTATTGATGTTTTACACCTTTTTCTTTCATTTTCTTCAAGATATTAAAACAGCTTTTCAATTTTGTCTTTGTTATTGTTGTTGTGTTTTGTTGGGGTAACTCACCATAAAGACTAAATAGAGGAGAAAAAACCCACCCCATCATCACAAAAGGACACTTCAGAACTGCTCATATTTGATCACTGACAAGCTCTTTTTGAATGCAGCTTTATTGACGGTGATGAGCTTATAAATACTACATACATTTTAATTTGTTGTTCCTTGTATAGTACCAGAATGTTTTAAGCAAACAAAGAAAGTTTTTCCAAAATTTGCTGAATAAAAACATTTTTAGCAGTGTCTAAGACAAATATTTTATTTCAAATATCCTGAGAGGGAAATTTAAATGATCTTTACCCTCTAAATGTACTGGAGGGTACATTTTTAATATTTAAAATCTTTAGTTCCCATGATTATCATGGAGGAGTATTTCAGACACTATGCTATAGTTTTTAGTGGTGTGAAAAGAGATACTGAAAAATAATCCCTCTCAATGCTGCGCTGCGCTAGATAGAGTACAGCCATCCATGGCCAGGCTGGGGAGCTAACTCCTTTAGAGAAGAATTCAGAGAAACTAGAGAAATTCATTTCTGTGAAACTCAGGGGAAAATTAATTGAATGAAGTGATTTTAGTTTCTTTTGTCTAGCAACTTGAATGAATTCTGAAGATATTTGGTCAGGATAACCAGCAAAAAATTGACCTTGTAACATGAATTTCCAGGAAAACCTCTACTTATGCACATGCTTATGAAATACACTTACTATAGTTACTTCTCTGCCTGAAATCATAGAGCCATTCAATACTATGTCACCTCCTTATTACCTCAAACACACCCCCTCACTTAACACTCCACTACCACAAGTCACTGTTTAAAATTACATTAATCTGTCCCACCACTGACTTTCTATTCATAACCATTCTTACAACATAGGAAGTGAAACTAAAACTCACTCAGTGCCACTGAAAGCAACTAGGGCAGCAGGGATGACAACTCGGCACCAAGGGCCTAACTAAGACTGGACAGGCTGCATTAAGGTCTGGCTTCCTGGAGACGTTCACATCAGGTCTCTGGCCCATTCAGAAAATGAGAGCTTGAGTTTCATTATGTCAGCAGCTGGGTAACAGGCTGTTTCTCTGATACACTGAACTGATGCTTTTATTTAATCACAGGGCTCTGGCATTACAAAATAGTAAGTCTTTTTCCTTGAGAAAAATAAAAGGAGGTACAGGGTTAGAGCCTAAGACTGGGGAGTATAATTGAATGTAAGCTTAAAACATAATAAAAATGAAGTAATCTCCAGTTGGGCAACATGGAGAAACTGTCAAGACTTTAGGAGCAACTGCCTTTTGAAGTTGGGTCAGAGTATATTTCACTTGCACATGAAAGGAGACATGAAAGATTTTTATTCTATGTGCTTTCACATTTTGCAGTAGCCAGTGATGGAAACTTTCATCACTTACATCCCATGCTCCTTATATTCCAATTTGTTATGTCAGAAATTCTAGCATGCCAAATTCATATTGGTCTTTGTTTGACATACATGTTTGAGTTGTTGAAGCAAAAGACAGAAGTGCCATGTACCCAGGCCCCTGGTAAACCCAGATATGTGTATTTTCTGAGTCTTCAGATGAGCAATGTAAAGAATACCTTAAACGGTCATTTGAAATGATTTTTCCAGCTCTAACATGTCTCCAGTTTCATTTCCAGAAAGTCACTGCCGAGTTTTTGCACAAGCTATCTTATCAAGATCCAACAGATTAAAAATCCTCTATGTTCAGCATCTCTTTTCATTCTTCTGTGGTAAAATGCCATAGGTGATTGATTCTTATTTAATTCTAAGCCTTAGGTCCTCTACTTTACAATACTTCCAGGACCTCATTGGGAGACATGGCTACTATTGTGCATCAAGGAATTACATCTATTTGCCACTTATAATCTGTAATCCATAATAAGTCACCTTTTTCCCCTTTTAAAATTAACAATATACTATAGGCTTCTCAATTTTACAAGAATATATATTTATACTAAACTAAAAGATATTACGGTCACTTTGACATAAGTTTTGTAAGTTGTGGCCAAAATAACTTATGAAATACAAAATTTATGTTACCAATGATGCTGTACAGATAAAAGATGATCTATATTTGTATATCGGTAATTTAAGAGCTCAGAGATTTAACTTGCTCCATAAACTAGTTTCTTGCACAGCTTATTTTCTGGCCTGGGTGGATAAGAAGCCAAGGAAGCAGGTGCCTGTAGACCTGCCCTGAACTTGGGGAAGCTCCTCGTGTGCTCTGTGTAGGGCAGGGAAAAGACTGGCATTTTTCTTCTTTATTAAAAATGTCTTGTACTTAGTGTTTTAGCCTCTACCTGAGTGTTACCATTAAATACACAGAGATTGAACTTAGCATAAGGGGCAATGATATAAAATTGTTCCACACAGTGTACTATATGAACCACTTTTCACAGTTCGAGTAAAATAATTTAAATATAAATATTGTAACTCTAGTGACAAACTATCTACAAAAGGTGGGAGAGGATGAGATGAATGAAAACTCAGTTATATTTCCATGTAGTTCATGTTTAACCATTTAATTAGTTTGTTTTAATTTTTAAAATCCAATTACACATAACCCATGATTGACGGGCGACTTCCTCTCCAAAACAAACTGTCAAATAAGTGATAAATTATAAGAAAGGAAAATATGTATCATTTACTACAACTGTTCCCTTGCTCCAAAACTTGACGAACATGTAAGAGAAATGAAATCAAGTGGGTACACATTAATTTGCAGAGTTAATCTGGAGAAGATGAGGTTAAAAGTATATACCAGAATGGACATATACTATTTTAATGTTTCCAAGTGAAATGGGTATATAAGAATTTAATTGTGAACTCAGGAGGACTGCTGTGGAATGGGAAGCAATGGCATTTGCCAACAGGAGAACCAATTCATCCTGTTATGGCCAAACCAAGAATTCCAAATGTTTCCTTCAATTTTATCCATATAAGAATGGGAGGAATCAAATTATGGTTATTGGCTGTATAACCTTCAGGCTATATAAGCTTTAAGTTAATGATCCTTAAGGACGTAGTTTTATTTGGTGTTCTTCCTGGGGTTTACATTAGGGTCAAGGTTGCTTTTAATCCTGGTGTAGATTTTAGGGTGAGAGCAAGGCTCTCAAGATACTTGCAATTCCTTTAATAGGGAACATGGATTAAAGTGCAAATCCTTCTATGAGAAATAAAGAAATGATTTAAACTTACTCTATAAACTAAATGACTAACATCACTTCTTCCTTGAGAGCAGATTTTTATGATGGAAATACACTGGGTCTTGAGGCCGGGAGGAAGAAGAGCTCCGGGATAAACCAACGACAGCCCCTGGTGGAATCCCCATTGCTTTCCCGTCGGGCTTTGTTTTAAGCTGCAGGATGGTGTCATGGGCTGCCTTTCAAAATCCTTTAGACGGGAAAAGAAACTGCATTGAAAAATAGAATTACATCTTAAGTCTTTATAGATATCGACTTCCACTTTAAAATAAAACCTATCAATGAACACTTTCAACTTCCTAAAGAAAAAAGAGGGAGAGAAAACCTTGTGTATGTGAAATCACTTACATAAGTGTCATGTGGCATGTAGAGGGAAAGTCTCAAACGTGGGTGTAACTGCTGTGCATTTGGGAAACGTGCCTTGATGGAAGAGTGCCTACAACGATTTCTCTCTGCCACCCAGTGGCCGCTGAAATAAATTCTAGTTTTCTTTGTCAGCTATGGCCCTGAATTTTACTTAAAAAAAAAAAAAATTGGAAGACAGAGGTAGATAATGCCAGGAATTTAAAACCATCAAGACGTTTGTCTCGATATATTTTAAAATACAATTATTGTAGTAAATGTTATATATTTTCCTCTGCGCTAACTCAAAGGTTAATCACAATAAATACTTTTTCTTCCTTTGTCTCTGCATCTACCTGGGTTCAGATACTGACTGGCACAGAGGACACGGAGCTGGCTCGGGACTCCCGGGTCACGTTGTTGGGCATGGCGAGGGTACAACAAGACACGCCCACGGTGGCCTCGGGCAGCTCGTCCTCCTCTGTCCACTCATTGAGCTCGGGGTTGAAGCACTGGATGCACTTCTTGTACTTCTTCTCGCCCTCGTTCCAGCCACCCACCAGGTAGGCGCGGCCGTGCAGCGTCGAGGCGCCCGCAGTGCTCACGCCCACCAGCAGGGGCGCCGCGTAGCTCCACTGGCGGGTCCCCGGGCTGTAGCACTCCACGGTCAGCACGTCCACGCGCTCCCCGCGCGGCCCCACCTGGCTACCCCCCATCACATACACCCTGTCGCTCAGCGTGACCGCGCAGTGCCAGCCTCGCGGCGTGCTCAGCCCCGGCAGCTCCTGCCACGAGTCGCTGGCCGGGTTGTACGCGCACACCGAGCGTGAGTACCCATTGCTGATGTAGCCGCCCGTCACCAGCACTTGGCCATCGGTGACCGCGCTAGCATGGCAGCAGCGCGCCACCTCCAGGGGCGTCTTCGGCTGCCACTGATTGGTGGAAGGCACGTAGCACTCCAACGAGGCAAGGCTTCCTTCTGTATTGCGGCCTCCCACGGCGTAAAGGAGCCCGTTGAACACGCTCAGGCTGAAGTGAGTGCGCTTCTGGTTCATGCTAGCCAGGTGTATCCAGGTGTTGAAACGGGGATCATATCTGGGAATGGCAGAGGAAGTGTGATAGCTTTGTTGGTGGCAGCCAGGGAACCTATGTTACTCCACAAACCTTAACTTGAGAATTTTGACACTGTCTATGCAAGTAGGCTACTGACGTAGCGCAGCTCCTCAGTAGCCTACTGAGGAGGCTGGTGTTTTTCTTTCAACCAGTAAAAAAGTGTGACACTTGGAGAAAAGCAAGGCATTTAGTCTTCTTATTGATTGGTGACTCCCCACTTCCTATTTATAAATTTCCTTCCTTTATTGGGGCCACTTAGAGAAGACCCTACAGAGACAGATCTGCCAGGCCCCTTTGCGCCATACTCAAATATCCATCAACCATTAGGATCTATGAGACTGTGTTGGGGGTGGGGGCAGAAGCGGGGTATTTATGGCACTCAGAAAAGGGAACACTGCCACATTAAAGTCAATCCCACATATCCTCAGACACTAGCTCATTCTCACTCCCTAATTAAGATAGCAGTTGGCTAATTGAATTTCCCACTTTCTCATAACCTCGGTCTTAGTCATACGCCTATCCTGGCCATTGCAACAGCGAAGCTAAGTTACTCGACCAAGTCTTCGGTTATCGTTTAGAATGAGGTCGATGAGACTCACGTCCAAAAGCATCAACAAAGCCTTAGCTTTTGATACTTACCCATTTTCTAGCACTTTTTAGCAGTTAATTTTTTTAAGTTTAGGGATATATTTTTCAGTGTTCGATATTACCATAAGTAATTATATCATAAGCATTGAAATCAGTACTGCAAGAACAGTGATTTGAGTATTAATAGTTGACTTAACAGGGGAAGAAAATAAGCAGTAACAGTAAAATATGCTTTTCTGTTTACATAGTTCTTAAGTTCATAAACACAGAACTTACTCCATCAGTTTGATAATATTCATTCATCTTTGTCCCATTTAACCTCTAAGTCAAAACTTAACTAAGGTCATAAGTTATTAAAAATCAATGAACTGTTTGAACTCATGTAAATAACACACTCAATGAAATTAAGACTATTCTTTATCACATACTGCACACATTTTCAGATCTTGCTCACTAGTTACGGTATGTTTGACTCTGTAAGCATGGACTTCTGAACGTTCCATATACATGAAAACTTAATTTTTTATCATAAATATGCAAAAATAATGTGGCACTTGAATTCCATTTTCTGAAGAATTTATTATGTCTTTTACTCTTTTCTTTATGCTTCAAAATATTGACATTTTTCTCTGGTATTTAGTCTTCAAAGAAGTACTTAAAAATTAGCTTCCACATTTTTAATTATCTCATTTTATTTGCCAACTATAAAACTGATAGTCATCAATAAGTCACTTAAAAGAAATTTTATATTGTTTTCATCTTTCTATACTTAGTGTTAGAAACTAAATTTGTTTCCAGTGTCTTTCAGAAAAGCAGTATGTTGTGAAGAGCACCTGACTAGAAATGAGAAAATGTGAATTGCCACTTACTAGTGGTGTAGCTTCTCTGGGGATCAGATTTCTCACTTGTAAAATGAGAATAATCCTGTTTTCCTTGCTCACTTCACAGACTTATCAGAAATCTAGACTACGTGAATGCACTTTATGTAAAGTGAAGTGTTATGTATACATTTTATGGGCATTATTATATAGGGTCTGGGACAAATAACAGCCCTTTTTATTACAAAATCTTTTATTACAAAATCATAAGCATGTAATTCTGTAACATAATAATATCACACTCAAGCACACCATGTGACGTTTAGGTGAAATGTTTAAATTAAAACTATAAATGATTACCCTCATATTATTACCCTACCAACCACACTCAAGCAGGTGTTACTTCTGCCAGACCCTGCATATATTATTATTAATATTATTAATTTACTGAGCTAATGAACTAAGCTAATAGGCATGACTAATTTGCTTCTCTGTCAGGGAAATTTCCTCATAATATTGAACCATTTCCAATAGAGAATCAAGTACCTGCAGAAATTGCTGACTGCATGCTTGGCCTGATTTCTTGCATCATTCTGGTCTTCACCACCAGCCACGTAAAGAAATCCATCCATCACAGCAACACACTGATTAAAACTCTTGGCTGGCATTTCTGTAAGCTTGCTCCATCCATTTTCAGGATCTCTATACAAGATGTCTCTACTAAGGGACTTCTCAGTAAGGCCTGGTCGCCCCCCAACAGTGATGAGGACTCGACAGCCCCCGCGGATTCTTGTGCGCCTAGATTGCAGTGTGTTCTGATGATATGGAAGTAAATGGTAGTTCATAGCATCCACAAGAAGTTTGTGACAATCGGCATCTTGCATCATTCTTGGTACAGACTGAACATAATTGACCAGGTCTTGTGCAGAGATAGTACCAAAGCGAATATTGCTCAAGAGATCTGCAGCATGCTTCATTCTCTTTTGGTCAAATTCTAACCATTTCATAGCAATCTGGAATGCTACTATTTCAGAAGGCAACTGTAAGTCATCATCTATAAGAAGTTCATTAATTTGCTCAAATGTAAGTTTCATAAACTGATCTGACTCTGCAAATTCAAGGAAGTTATCCCGGATAAATTTCTGGGCTGCTGCTTTTGCATTTTTCAGAGAATACGTTTCAGCAATGTTAACAATGTACATGCAGTTCTCAACGTTCATCTCTCGTATCAAAAAATCACTGCACATCTTTACAAGGGTATGGATCTGAAGATAAACAGCAGCAGAAATAATACTTCCTATTGTATACAAGGAGAGAGTCAGCTTTCCGGTGTAGGCATATGCAATGACAGTGGCCAGGCCCAGTGGTGAGATATCATTGAGATCCACCCTTTGAGTAGATGGGTCTTTTTTTAAGATGTTGTAAAAGTACTCACTGCAGGAAGCCATCACTGATTTGTGAACATCAAAGGATTTGGTTTTGGTGCCAATGACTAAGTCACAAAGGAAGCTTTCTTGCCGCATTTTACTTAAACCTTCCAAGAGGTTGGGGCCATAGGAGGCATCTGTTAATTCAGAAGAAATGCAGCTAAGGCCATTGCCTCCCTCTAGGATCCCATTCAAAGCATTTAGTTTAGTTAGGGGGCTATCTTCTACAATTATGGTCATCTCATTAATATCTCCTTTGTTCTTTCTGACAGTCTTCTTTTTGGGGGCCATGTTGGCAACACCGTCACAGGCAAGAGCTTGCTAGAAAAAGAAAGAAAGGCATGGTATTATCTTCGTTGTTCCTTGCTCTTTGAGCTGCTCCACTGAGAAACACTTCTATTTTATAATTTTTTAATAGCATAATGTAGATTAATCCTCAAAAGTAGGTTTTAAAATTTACATCACAGTAGATGCATTTTTAGATGCACATTTTATTGCCAGTTTACTTCAGCACCAAGCATTGAAGACAATTCTAAGAAGATTTATATTATCAAATGAGACCACTCCATAGCTGTATGGCCAAGGAATTTTTTACTGTAGAAATGACCAAATATTCTCTGATTTAGTTGAAAAGTTTATGGAATAGCAGTTAAACATCATTTGAAGGGCTTGCTTGAAAAAAATGAGTTGTAACTATTCCGAAGTTTTCCTCAATAATATAAATTTAGGAATCCATGTAAAATGTGAAATATATATGTGTGTTTATGTGTGTGTATAAATAAATAAGTATGGCGTTTAAAAATCAATGGGTAAGGGCTTGTAATGGTAGCATTAGTTCAATTGATTTCTATTCTGCAAATTCCCTAAGATAATATCCAGATGAATTATATATCTAAATCTCTTCTTCACGCATACAAAATTTACACAAGAATTAGGGCAAAGTAGCTTTTTCCCCTTCATCATAGAGTAAGAAAAACCCTGTTAAGTATAACACAAAATTCAGAATCCATAAAGGAAAAGACTAAAATATATGAATATAAAAATGATAAAAACTTCTACAAAACACCACCAGCCATTTAAAAGACAAGGAACAGATGTGAAAACAAACATCAGTGACATTTTTGATGGATAAAAGTTCAGCTGACATGATACTCAAAGAACTACTACAAGTCAATGAGAAAAAGGTAAAATCCAATTAAAAAATGGACAAAGATTATGACTTGGGTAACTAGGTCATTCAAAGAAGATAAAACACAAATAGTTAATAAATATCTTTTGAAGTACACTAATAATGTTCAGAAAACTATAAACTGAAATCCAGAGATCCTTTTTATTTTGGGGGGTCAAATTTTGTTCAATGGCTAAAATATTTTAAAATATTCACAGTATCAAATTTGGTGTGGTGGTCTGTAGACATTGTTTATGGAAGTAGAATTAATACAGTCTTTTGAATGACAAATTGGGAGTGTATCTGAAATAAAAACTATGTTATGTTTTGACACTAAAATTCTAAATTCAGGCATGAGATATATCCACATAGAGATATATTTGTGTGGATGCTCACATATTAAGAATAGTAACTATTTTTTCATTATCAATGTTGCAAATATTTGAACCAGTTTTTAAACCTATATGAAGTGTGGGTTTAGCACCATAATGTAGCTCTGACAGTTCTAGTATTAAACATAGACTTGAAATATCATGTTTACCAAATAGATTAAATTACTTGAGCCTCTTTGGAAAAAAATGAGCATAATCATCAGAAGATGCTGTACGTGGACTTTTAATGTACTTCATTTACATCACAGTGGCATTCACATTTTTGTGAGACTACTGATGTGGTCTGTCTTTTTTTAAATGGCAAAATCAGTATGTATAATTAGTAATTCATGGTTGTGTTATATACCATTCAAGATAATTGTATCTGCTTATACAAACTTATATCTGCATATTTTTGAGCAGCTGTGTGCTAGTAAACCAACTCTCCAGGTGGGGTAAGACTTTATTTGTAAGGTGCTGGTTTCTTTGATGTCAAACTCATTTTCACCAGGGGCCACATCAGCCTCGTGGTTCCCTTCAAAGGGCCGAATGTAATTTCAGGACTGTATAAATGTAAGTACTCAACTAGGGAAAAGGAGCTCTGCATTTGGCCATTTGAAGGCAACTGTGAGGCTCATGTGGCCCTCCGTGAGAATGAGTTTGACAGCCCTGGACTGTACATACACTCAATGTGGCTGGTTTTAAGCTATCACACTGTTTAACAGCCAGATTGCCCAGTTCTTGAAAATGTAACAGTTGGTTCTTGAGAGCCAATGAAAGCTCCAACACAGCACTATAAGAGAATGTATATTGGAACAAGTTGACACGATATCATTCAGCAGTTGGCTCTTTTCACCTAGCAGTAACTCATGCACATCTCTGTATCAGTACACACCACAAATTTACCCCATTCTCCCTAGTAGCTACAGTGACCCATAGTAAGAATATATAAAACTTACTCAATTATTCTGTTCCTAGACATTTAGGTATTTAGGTGTTTTATAGTTTCTTGGGGTGTGTGTGTTTTAAGTCTCACTGTTGAGTTCATTCTGAGGGTTAAAACTTCAATTTAAAACACTCCCTGACCTTTCTGTTCTGTCTGGTCCTCCTTTTCCACATGACAAGGAGCAGCGAGTGGGTGGGGAGCAGAGGAGGTCCCTGCCTTTGCCAGGGCTCCAGTCTTCATCCTTTAGCTGGAATTGTCAAATTGACCTTTACATTTATTTGTAAGACTGGAGCACATCTGTCCCTCCTCATTCTTTGTTGCAAGCAGTGCCAAATTCATCTTTACCTTGTAAAATAGATTTTTAGCTCACTATCATTTTAGTCTTCAAAAGTATTTGACTTATGCAGTGAGTGTTCCCATATTGGAGTCCTCTGGGGAAAATTTTAAAAATTTTGTTCAGCAAGCACTTATCAAACACCTACTGCTGTGTTGGTGGCACTGTGCCAGGGCTGGTGGAGTAATTTATGTTAGAGACACAAAAATGACAAGGAGAAAAAGACAGCAAAAAACTAAGTAAGCACAGCAGAGTAATTTTTTTTCAAACAGCACTTTCTACCAGCTAGAGTAGAAGCAGAAGTGTATCTTTGGGGAAGTCTTGTCTATTTTCCTGGAAGAATCCCTTTAGCCAGTTTTTTACTCATGTAGACATAGAGCTGATAACTACTCACTGTTTTGGAAAAATCTAGAACCCAGAGAGTAACCTTAGTGGTTCAGACTGAAATGTTCAATATTCTGTTTATCTATCATTAATCGATTATTTCAGTGGTAACCTATGGAGTGGATATTTCAACAACTGGTAAAAGAGGGCACTTACTAACTAACTAGTATGAATTCACAGCTCTAGAGCTGAGTTCCAGAGGGTCCCCTTTGTACCTTGTGTAAGTCCTTAGTTTCTGGATTACAGTGAGGGGGTCCTAGGAGAGGGCTGGAGTGGTGTGAGGTGTTTGGGGGTGGGGGGTCAGGTAAACCACCATATGGCTATTTACCAACTCATTACAGAGGGATCTCAGTATTTAAACAACCGATACTATACTGAAACATAGTTGTTCTAGGGATAGGGTGAAATTTCTCTCAGATTATTTTTGTTTTAAGGGTTTTCTTTCTTCTAGTGAAAATAGAGGTTTCTGGAGGAAAGAGAGAATACAGCCTCAACAAGACAGTGATATGCAGGGCAAAGAGACAAAGGGACTAGCCACACTTCAATTGTTTAATAACCACACGTGACTGACAACCATGGTATTGGACAAAAGGGCCCTAGAACAACCACTTAGAGAACACAAAGTATATCTGAAAAACCAATAGATAAATTTAGATGGAATTGAACAGTGTAGGAAAGTTGAAACAGAGGAATAAAAATTAGAGGAAACAAACAGAAGAATAGTGGTAAGCCTAAATCCAATTATATTAATAATTATATTAAATGTTAATTGAAAAAAACATTATATTAAAAGACATAGATTGTCAGAATAGATAGAAAAAAGCAATACCCAAAATACGTACTATCTACAAGAGACTCACTTTAAATATAAAGACACAGCTAGGTAAAAAAATACATGGGTAGAAAGAGATTTACCACAGAAATAGTAGAGATAGTAAAACTGGAGTGGCTATATTAATGTCAGATAAAATACACTTCAAGAAAAAAAACAATTACCTGTGATAGAAAGAGAATTTATAACAATCCAAATATACATAGTCAAATAACAGCTTCAACATATGTGAAGGGAGAAATAGCTAATTCCTCAGTTATATTTGAAAATGTTATTAACTCCTCAGCAACTGATAGAATAACTAAAAAATCAATAAAAAGGTAGATTATCCGAACAATATTATTTTTAAGCCATTATTGATGTATTCCTCTAATTCTTTTTTAAAATTTATTTAGTTATTTTTCAAGTACAGTTTTCTTTTGTCAATTTCTCCCATCCCAGCCCCCCCCACCCCGTCTCCCCACCTCCCTCCCATTCCCCCCACCCCAGTCCTCATCCCTGTGTCTTTCATACTTGTTCTTCAACATCCCTCCCCGTTTTTCCCCTTAAATTCCCTTCCCTCTCCCCTCTGGTCGCTGCCCACTTGTTCTCTATTTTAGTGTCTTTGTTTTTATTCTATTTGCTTGTTTATTTTGTTATTTAGCCTCCTGTTAAAGGTGAGATCATATGGTATTTGTCCTTCGATGCCTGGCCTATTTCACTCAGCATAATGCTTTCCAGTTCCATCCATGTTGTTGCAAAGGGTAGTAGCTCCTTCTTTCTCTCTGCTGCATAGAATTCCATTGTGTATATGTACCACAATTTTTTGATCCATTCATTTACTGACGTATATTCCTCTAATTCTAAGTGTGGATTTTTTTTTTTTTAGATTTTATTTATTTACCTTTAGACAGAGGGGAAGAGAGGGAGAAAGAAAGGGAGAGAAACACCAATGTGTGGCTGCCTCCCATGTACCTCCACCAGAAATCCAGCTGACAACCCAGGCACATGCCCCAACAGGGAACCAAACCAATGACCTTTTGGTTCACAGGTCAGCACTCAGTCCTCTGAGCCACACCATCCAGTGCTGAACAACATTACTGATCACCCTAACTTAACCGATATGTCTAGAACATCGCACATAACAACCATAGAATACATATTCTTCTCAAGTCTATGTAGCACACTCACCAAGACACATTCTGTGCTGCACCTCAAAACATGTCTTGGTAAATTTAAAAGATCAAAGTCATACAGAGTATGTTCTCTGATCATAGGTAATTAAGTTAGAAACTAATAACAATAAG